TTTTTTTTTTTTTCCTATTTTTGTTTTGGTTTAACGTTATTGTGTATCACCTGAAATGACTTGAAGTGGCTGAAGCTCCTGAAAGGGGTTTCACATATCCTCATCCAACCATTTGGATAGAGGGACCTGAAAACCCTTTCAGAAGCTTCAACCACTTCAGGTCATTTCAGCCGTTTCAGGTCCCCACCTGAAATTCCTGAAATGATCTGAAGTGGATGAAAATTTGAAAGCAGTTTCAGGTCCCCCCATCTAAATGGTTGGAAGGGGGCACCTGAAACCGCTTTCAAATTTTCCCCCACGTCAGGTCATTTCAGGAGTTTTAGGTGGGGACCTGAAGTGGATGAAAGTGACATGTAAATAACATTTGTTGTTAACCAGCTCTCTCCTCATCACTATGTTGGCTTCGCACAACTATCCATTGTTGGGTGGGGAGTGCCATGTGCATGTTTAGCCACAACGGTCCCGCATATTCCTGATCTAACAAATCCTTCCACATCATGCACATCTGCTTCCACCTGTCATCCTTCCAGTTACGGAAGGTTCCCTCTTCCAACCAACTAGTCTTTTGTCACCAGGTTTGTGCTTCCTGTTCCAGGTTCACCACAGGGAGCAGGGATTTCTAAATCACATTCGTGCTCACCTGATGCAACTTATAGCTGTTAGGCTTCATAACTTCGCTGCAGTTCCAAATCTTGGACTTCTCCAGAACAGGTACCTACCTCTGCCGGCTGTAGTTAACCTTAGACGCATCCGATAGATTGTCTGACTTTGCGGGACTGACATGTAAGACAGACTAGACTGAGTGACCTTGAGCTGCCATTTCGGCAAAGCTTGGCATGCAGAGGGAATCCATTGGGACTTCGAGGCTGATACTGGAGCTTTGAGGCTGTGATGCATGAAAATTCTTTTTTTTTCCCTTTTTTTTCTTTGAACAGCAACACCTGCTGCCTCTGATGGGGACGGTGATAAGAGCACCCACCACTAGTAGAACCGCGAGTGACTCCAGTCTATTGATGGGGAGTAGCCATACATGCGGCGCATCGCGATGCGCTGCACTGCGCACGTGCGCCGCACGGCGCATCCCGCACAACGTGCGCGCACTGCATGCGGCGCACC